TGTCAAAGTTTTCAGGTTTTTCAAGCTTGACACTCGAGTCGCGTAGGGCAACCATTCGAGCCACAAATTCATCTGGATTGCTAACTAATTCCGGAGCTAAATAACTAGGTCTTGAAGGTATCAGAGAAAGCAGGGCGGCCTCAAGTAGTTGCAGACGTTGCTCGTAATTGGTTAGTTGACCAATAAGCTTGTAAAAACAATGATGGAAATTTATTAATTAAATTACTTTCAATTGATGACTAAAACATGGGTTAAGTAGGAGTATATAAAGCTAGATTAATGGATATATTTTGTAAATCTAAGACATAAAAGATTAATGAATATAAAAATTTGATTCATGAAGCAATAATCGAACTATTCAGGCTGATATCAAGTAATAAAACACTCCGAAGTAGTAGATAATGGTAAAACAAATAAATTTAATTAGGAAATTAAGGGAGCAATACAACCCGACGGGCGTTAGAAATACCAAGGGAGACGGACGGAATATATTTAGCAAAAAAAATATTATTGTATAGCATATAAACTCAGAAGTTTTGATAAAATATAAGGAAGTGAAAGTATAATCATCCATGTGAATATTCAGGAGAAGTTTGTGATTTCGCTTTAACCGTTTGCAGCATATTCTTAGAGAATTCCAGTTATGTTATATTGTTATATTAATTTTTTTTAAACAGCCTTCTATTCAAGTATGAAAAAATCTACCCTGATTGCGTAGAGTAAACACTGAGCATGTATACAGCGCTTAACCAAGGGTAGGCTTCATGAAATCTTTTTAAATTTTGCGTGTAATTTTTCATAGTAGTCCGTTATAAAGTGTAGATTGCAAGGAAAGTGGTGCAACTTTACCTTAATCCTTTCTTATTTCGATAAAAACTTGACTTTTTTGGTCGCTAATAATATTAAGCTAGTATGGATTACGTCTTATTATTCTTAGGCAATAAACAAAAAAATTTCCTATTGAAATATTTACTTTCTGGAGTTTTTCTATTTCTAGTAAACCATATGCATGAGCAAGACCAAATTTCTCTAAGCATATAACTCATAGTGCCCTTGATCTGTGGGCTCTATAGATGTAAAATTATTGCCTATCCTATAAAAATCACCGCAATAAAAAAAAGTATTTTAATGATGGCCCCAGCATGTTTTAATGCATTTTAATTACGTTAAGTTTATACCAACGCATTTTCACTTCTTGCTGCGATAGCAGTTGTTAAGATATGCATTCTACCATTAGAATATGTTTTACAAGCGTAAGTATTTGATACATTTTCCTAGTGTATGAGGTATACGCTAAATTAAACTTTGTTATTTTTTGTTTTATAATTCTTAAAGAAAAACTCCTTTTCAAGAAAATTAATTTCTTTAATTTTTATCAAACATGCAGTGGCTGATACCAAAGCTATATAATCCTTGTCTATAGATAGGAGCTACTAAGACCTAGCCTATATAGTGGTTGATAAGAGTGTAAAACGATACTACTTAGTAAACCAAATAAGTGAATTGGAAGCCGAATTGAGGCATGCGCTAATCAAACTATTCTAATTATA